ACGGGAGTAGAAAGCCTCATCTTTCTCCCACGGAGCAGCTGGTAGTTTCGAACCGCTGACCTTAAGGTTCACAGCCCGATTCGTAACCACTACGCTAACATATAAATCATGTACACACACATACACACACACACACACAAGGGGATGTCTAGGAATGTTTCCATGAGCTTTTTGTAGCCCCTTCATACACACTTACACATGCGTATCAGCAGCAGCAGAATTCCCTTAGTAAACACGCCATGAATCATTTATAGACGTGCAGAGGGCAGTCAGACGGGCTTCTCTATAAGCACAAGCATTCTCATCCACATATCCAGCATGCCGTACAAATTTAATATTTTATACATGTACTGCTGACGTATAGACAAAGCTGGAAGCTGTAGCAACAAGCAACAAAAACATAAGAAAATAAAATCTCCTCGAATGAACAGTAATTGTGAGGAAACTTTTAAGAACTTTGAAGAAGGGTGAGTAACACCTAAAGACATGAATAAGTTGATACACTTAAAAAAAATAAAAGAATAGATTTGTTGTTACTAAGTGCTATCAAACCAGTTCAAACTCATATTGATCCTGTATAGGATTTCCAAAGAGCGACTGGTGGGTTTGAACTGCCAGCCTTGCAGTTAGCAGTTCAGGGCTTATCCTACAGCACCACAAAGAATAGACTAGGATACCATAAATACAGAAAACAGAATGTGAGAATAATATAGGGAATAGATTATGGAATAGAAATAGTATTGAATGTTAAGTAGAATCAGCAGTTTAATTAAAGCTAGCATAAACCATTCTCAATTATAGCTAATTACACAAATGGGCTGATTAATGCAAGTGGAAAAAAGCAGAACTAAAAAATAGACGTGATCTACTCTAAATAATTGGGGCGATAGGGGTTAGTACAAGAAGAAACGAGCTAGTAATATAGAAGCCTGAAGTAAAAAGTAGTTTTCATAAAGTGAAAGGTACAGTATGGATACTGACAAGAGTTGAAAAGAATCACTCAGATGATCCTCAAAAAAGTATTCCTCTTTCTCTGTCTCAAATTTCTACCTATTGGTAGGTTTTTAAATCTCGGATAGGATCTTAAAATTGCTAGATAGAAAGCAACCCACTGCCACTGAGTTGATTCCAGCTGATCGTGACCAAGTAGAAGAGTAGAACTGCTCCTGAGGGTTTCCAAGACGGTAAACCTCTCTGAGGCAAAGAGCCTCGTCTTTCTCCTAAAGCAGTAAGAAAAAGCAGGTCAATGACTAAACGTTAGGCTTTATCCCTCAGAACTGAATAGAAAGCAGAAACTCGGAAGGTGGTAATGTACATAAAACGAAGAGACAGGCAGCATCTCCACCAATCCAGCATCTGCTAACTTCTCTTGAGAAAGATCTGTAAGATACATGCAGTCATCCACAGCAGACCATGAAGGCTTTTTTAAATATTACATTTTGAAGAGAGAGAATCGTGAGATAAAGGAAGAAGCTGGGGGGTTAGTTACTAGAAAATGTTAGAAAAAAAATCTCAAACACCTAAGGTTCAAGGGCAGTCCCAAATTGCTAAAACTTTATTTCCCCTTCCAGTAGTCAACATTGCGGTAATATAAGTGAAAGAAGAAAGCACAGAATAACAAAAACGTAACTTCAAGAGATGGAGGTAGAATAAATATGATGTTGTTCACTGCAGTATAGTCAATTCCAACCCATAGCAACCCTGTCTGTATAGGCTTTCTGAGGAGCAGTTGGTGAGCTTGAACCTCCGACCTTGAAGTTCAAATGGCTTTGCACGTTAACCCACAATACCACACCATAATCTGAATGTGAAAAACTTAACAACAGTCCTAGTTTTAATTGTTTCTCCCTCTCATCCTAATAATGTAAAATTTGGAAGTATATGTATCCTTAAAGAAACAGCTCAAAAGGAAGCAGTAATCTGCGCTGCAGTTTATAGCTGCCCCATTTGTGATGAGAGATTTAGCAGCTTCTTAAATGCCAACCAGTAAGGGAGGTGCTGGATGGTGGGTTTCCGTATCAGAGCTTCCCAGAGTGTGGATCCTTCACTTGGGGACACCAAGAGGATGAGGTGGCACATAGAGAAACTTTTGTGTCATTGGCTTTTGCTTAAGAGGAAAGCTTTTTTTTCCCCAAGTCAATTTAAAGAAAATTATTAAATAATAGTATAAATTAACATCAAATTTGTCAAACATTTGTGAAGGTCAAAGAGTGAAGGCTAAGATTAAAAAAGATGAAGGAAACATTTGTATAGCTATTGGAAATAAGCATATAAAGCAGTTCCATACAATACATATACACACTTTAGTGTAAGAAAACAATACCATTACATTCTGACAACTATATACATTTTGACAAGTATATAAATAAACAAGTTAAATTTAGAGTAAAATGTTTGTTGTTAGTTTTCATTCCTTTTTTTCTGTAAAATAACACTTGAGCCTTAATGCTCTTTTCATTCGGATAGTGTGTAAATGCTTGTTTGGGAAAGTGAGGATTACTAGAGAGGTTTTCTCGGCAGTGATAAGTTCCTTCTGCACATGGGCGTGTTCACTGCCCTCATCTTAAAGTGCTACAGTGACAAAAGCACTACCCACCCACTTCTTATTTATTCTTCATTTCTTAAATGCCTGGAATTACTGCCAAGAGACTGAAATATTTGGCAAGATTTTACTTAGCGCTCTTGCATACAGCCTTTGCTTTCATTCCCAAGCCAAAAGACACATGGTTTAGATTTCATTTGTGTTGCAGCCATGGCCTTCTCAGATACACAGTAACACTTAATGATTTCTTAGGAAGACCAGTGTCTTGACCATTGAACACGTTTGGAGTTTAACAAGTAATTTGTAGATGATTTTGAGGAAATGAAAGCTCTAGACCTCCTGTGGTACCCGTCAGGCCTCTTGTTAGGCCCGTGAGGGCTACCACTTCCTGGGAACTAAGTGTTAATTCGCATTGTTACACTCTACCGTGTATGGTATCTAGTGACCTAATTTCCAGAACATCTTGTTGATTCCAGATTATGATGATGGCTTTTCAATGAAGCATACAGCCACCGCCCGTTTCCAGAGAAACCACCTCCTCATCAGTGAGATCCTTAGTGAGAGTGTGGTACCAGATGTCCGGTCAGTTGTCACAACAGCTAGAATGCAGGTCCTCAAACGACAGGTCCAGTCCTTAATGGTTCATCAGGTAATATCACAAAACATCAGTTGTAATAAAATGTGGCTGTGCCAGAGATCCCAGGTGACCTGATTCTGTCTCGTGCGTGAATGTGCTTGTTACATCTTTTTGTTCCTGATTCAGAGAAGAGGTTTAAGGGAGTGGACCTTTTCCAGAGATTTAAAAAGTTTTGTCATTAAAAATTATACACCCTTCAAACCTGGACCTTAACCACCCCTGGGGCTCATCTTTCAGCCAAGCAATTGTTAAGTGCCTTTGAGTTGGTTCCCGCTCACAGTGACTTTGTGTAGGATTTCTAAGGAGCAACTGGTGTGTTTGAACCACTGACCTTGTGGTTCACAGTCCAGTGCTAATCCAGCACTAACTACATCAGGAGCCCAGCCAAGCAACAGGCAGGTCCAGGTCTTTATAGTGAACAGTAAGACCTGTGAGGAACATGTTCCCCAGAATTTTCAACCAGACGTTTTCTAAAGGAGCAGCAGTTGCCCAAAGACAAGAGGGGGGGAGGAAAGAAAAACAAAGGGACCAGAGGAACCCAGCCGGAAGTGCGGAAGAGTGCTCTCCACTGAGAGGGTTACACCTAATGTCACAGAAGAAAAGATGCCTCAACTGTTGAGTAGGAAACTAAGTTAGCTTGTGAACTTTCACCCAAACCACAATCGTGTTTTGGGTTTTTTTAAAGAAATTTATAATATAAAGTCTTGTAGATTTGCTAATGCCCTGAAAGTTTTGAGGCATTCTATCAAGCTATACTGCTTTAGTAAGTATTTTTTCCCAAAGAAGTTTTTTAAGCTTGAAACAGTGTTCTTTAATGTGTTATTATTTATATTCCTTTCTCTACTCTGCATTGGTTCTGAACCAATACATTTGACACCTACCCCCCCCCCAAAAAAATCAGATTTGCCACAATATGAAAATGTATATAAACTAGTTAAAACTTAGACTTAATTCCTGTGTTTGCTGTTTGCTTTATAAAGCCTACAAATATATTTTGTCTTCTATAGCGAAAGCTAGAAGCTGAACTTCTTCAAATAGAGGAGCGGCACCAGGAAAAGAAGAGGCGATTCCTGGAGAGCACAGACTCCTTCAACAGTGAACTGAAGAGGGTATCCATCCATCCAGTGTATTGCTGGGCTTCTGTCTCTTTACTTTCTCCAAAAGAGTGTGTTTATTTTCTGCTGTTCACTTTGAAACAGGGTTAATTTTAGGATCTTTGCTTCATAAGTCCCATGCAGTCAGTCACGTGTTGTTTTCATTTTATTGAGATTTATTCATCAGTTCTCTTAATTAGGTGTAATCCACAGTTCCCATTTAGTATCAATACAAGTAAATCTCACGTTTGGTACTATGAAATATAAAATCAGCACTATATATACACAAAGGGACTTCAGAAAGTTCACAGGACAATGGAATGAAGAGAGTGGAATTTTTCACAACTTTTTGTAGCCTCCTCGTGTAGTCCAAGAGTGTCCGTATTGCTGCATCACCAGCTTCTCTCTTGTTAGCACATGGCTACTGGGGCCTTAACTGCTCCTTTTCTGTCAGACACTTATTTAGACACCAGGTGGTTGTCAGGTGCTGTTGAGTCGATTCCAACTCAGCAGCTCTGCACAACAGAACAAAATACTGCCTGGTACTGTGCCATCCTTACAGGGTTGTTATATTTGAGTCCATTGCTGCTGCCAGTGTGCCAGTTCACCTCGTTGAGGGTCTGCCTTTTTTTCACTGACCTTCCACTTTACGAAGTTTGATGTCCTTCGTCAGGAACTGGCCTTCCCTGACAACATGTCCAAAGTACATCAGATGAAGTCTTAGCATCCCCACTTCTAAGGCTGAACTTCCAAGACAGAGTTCTTTGTTCATTCTTCTTGCACTCCACGGTACTTTAAATATTCTATGCCAGCACCCTAATCCATGGATAGCAATTCTTCTACTGTCTTTCTTATTCATTATCCACCTTTCACGTGCATATGCTGCTGTTAAGGGCCATCAAGTTGATTCCCACTCATAGCAAACCCTGTAAAGGATTTCCAACGAGCAGCTGGTGGCTTTAAACTGCTGACCTTGTGGTTCACAGTCCAGTGCTGATCCTGTAGCACCACACCAGAAGTCCATATATGCATATGAGGTGATAAAAAATACCATGGCTTAGGTCAAGTGCACTTTTGTTCCTCAAAGTGACATCTTTGCTCTTAAACATTTTAAAGAGGTCATTTGCCTAATACTATGCATCGCTTGATTTCTTGACTGCTGCTTCCTATGTGTTGATTGTAGAACCAAGTAAAATGAAAGTGTTTGACAACTTTAGTCTTTTCTCCATTTATCATGATGTTATTCATTGATTCACTTATGAGCTTTTTCATTTTCTTTACACTGAGGTTCAATCCATACTGAAGGTTACAGTCTTTGATCATCATCACTAAGTATTTCAGGTCCTTTTTGCTTCCAGCAAGCAAGGTGTGTTATCTGCATATCAAAGGTTATTAATTCATCTTCCTCCAATCCTATGCCACATTCTTCATATAATACAGCTTTTCGGATTATCTGCTCAGCATACAGATTGAATAAGTAGGGTGAAATAATACAACCCTGGTGCACACCTTTCCTGATTCTAAACCATTTGACATCCCCGTGTTCTGTTCGAATGACTGCCTGTTGGTCTATATACAGGCTCCTCATGAACACAGTGAAGTGTTCTGGAGTATTCATTCTTCACAGTGATATCCATAGTTTGTTGTGATCCATATAGTCGAATGCCTTCATATAATCAATAAAGCACAAGGAAACATCATTCTGGTATTCTCTGCTTTTAGCCAAGATCCATCTGATCTCAGCAATAATTTGCCTAGCTCCAGGTCGTCTTCTGAATCCAACTTGACTTTTTGGCAGCTTCCTGTTGATGTACTGCTGCAATTGTTTTGAATTCTCTTCAGCAGCATTTTACTTGCATGTGATTTTAATGATGTTGTTCAGTGGCCTTCACATTCTGTTGTGCCACCTTTCTTGGTACTGGACACAAATACAGATCTCTTCCCATCGGTTGGCTAGAAATCCACATTTCTTGGCATAGATGAGTGAACACCTCCAGCACTACATCAGTTTTTTGAGACGTTTCACATTGTATTCTTTGTCTTTTTTCAGTTAACCTTTAACATTTTCAATTTAGCTTCTCTACGTTCAGGGACAAGTTTTGGAGAGTCTTCTGACATACATTTTACTATTTGCTTTCCTGTCTTTTTAATGACCTTGTACTTTCTTCATGTGATGTGCTTGATGTCATCCCACAGCTCTTCTGGTCTGTGGTCTTCTGTGTCTATTCTGTTGTTGAGATGGTCTCTCAATCCAGGAGGGATCTACTCAGGGTCATATTTTGGTTATCATGGACTTGCTTTAATTTAATTAAACTTCAGCCTGAACTTGGATATGAGCAGTTGATGGTATTGAGCTTCTCCAGTGTCTCTTCCTACTTCCTGTATGTCTCAGCTATTCTATTGTCCGTGTATATATGAGCCATTTCTGTTGTATGACAAACTGACAGGCAAGTAGTAGAAGACAAAATCTAGAACCACAGTTTTTAATATAAATATATGTGTGTGATTCCAGCTTGGTGCTCCATGACAGTCACCAGACTGCTAACCTCAAGGTCAGTGGTGCAAACCACTTAGACACTTAACAAGTATTTTAGATATATAATGTATATGTTGTTGGTAAGTGCCATCGAGTTATGTATATATGTATTTTATATATATCATATATATATATATCATATATATAAGGAGCTCTGGTAGCGTAGTGGTTATGAATTGGGCTGTGAACCACAAGGTCAGCAGTTTGAAATTACCAGCCATTCTGCGGGAGAAAGATGAGACTTGCTCCCGTAAAGATTTACAGCCTCGGAAAACCTGTGCAGGGTCGCTATGAGTCAGAACCGACTTCACGGTACTTAACAACAACAACATGTATATGTGTGTGTGTGATATATATATATAAACTGGTGTGGTACTGTAGAATAAAGCATTTAACTGCAAAGTTGGCTTGAACCACAAAGTCAGTGATCCAATCTACTAGCCGCTCCTCGGAAACCTATACGGGGTTGCTATGATTCAGAAGAACTCAACATGTATACATACAATGTATGTATACATATGTGTGTGTATATATATTAACAACATATATATACACACACATATGTATACATACATATATATGAAGAAACCATGAGAAAAGCAGTTTGTATGTAAGCAAACCCACTTTTAAAACACTTTATTTGGTCCAGAGACTATAAGGCCGTTACTAAGCGGGTTCTCTTTTCTAACTGCTAGCTGTGCGGTTTGAAGGTAGAAGTGGACATGGAGAAAATTGCAGCTGAAATTGCACAGGCAGAGGAACAGGCCCGCAAAAGGCAGGAGGAAAGGGAGAAAGAGGCCGCAGAGCAGGCGGAACGCAGTCAGAGCAGCATTGTTCCTGAGGAAGAGCAAGCAGCTCACAAAACAGAAGAAAAGAAGGAAGATGAGAACATTCCAATGGAGACAGGTAATCTACCAACTGACCCTGAAGTCAATGTGCAAGGTTTTCACAACTGTTTTCTGAGTTTGAGAGTTTTCTTACTAAATGCTTGTCAGAAATCACTATGGAGCCTTGCCTCTTGAGTTATTCTCTATGACCATCCCAGTTGTTTTCTTCAGCCTTAAACCTCTGTATAGTGGTTGGTGGTTATGTGCTGTGGTTTTCAATCATAGCAACCCCGCATAGGATTATCCGAGGCTGTAAATCTTTACAGGAGCAGAAAGCCTCATCTTTCCCCCATGGCATTTCTGGTAGTTCCGATTAGCAGCCCATCTCGTAACGACTATGCTACCAGAGCTCCTTCTCTTTATAGTTGTTGTTAAGTGCCGTTAAGTCTATTCCGACCCACAGTGACCCTGAATAGGGTTTCCAAGGAGCGGCTGGTGAGCTTGAACTACCAACCTTGCTGCGGTTCAAACGATTTTGCAGTCTGACACGTTAGTTGTTGTTGTTATGTGCCGTGGAGTCGGTTCCAACTTATATCGACCCTGCATAGGGTTTTCGAGGCTATAAATCTTTATGGGAGCAGAAAGCTGAAAGCTTCATCTTTCTCCTGTAGAACAGCAGCTCATGGTTTCAAACTGCTGACCATGAGATTTGCAGCCCAATTCATAACCACTACACTAGATATTCTTAAAATACAAAACAGCTGTGGTGTGGTTTTGGTCTTGCTATTTGAGGTCTCGGTTTTGCCCAGATGGACTCATGTCATTTTCTGTCTTGAGAATTGGAAATCATAATGGTCAAGGATACCAGCTCTCGAGTGAGGCACATCTATTTCTGATACTACTTCACCACTTCCTAGTGCTATAATTTTGGATAAATCACCTGTTTCCTCCTTTATAAGTATTCTGGCACCTGATTCCAAGCGTAATCAACTGCGTAGAGTAAATAAGAAAATGTAAATGTATGTGAAACATTCAGCATGGGATTTGACACAGTACTGACAATTCAGTATTTTAACCTTCATTGCTAGTGTTATTTAAACACAATGTGATTGTAGCTCTCAAGATTGAAGATTATCTTTGGTGTCATAGAACAATGTTTGGCAAAGTAAAATTTGCAGGTCAAATCTTGCCGACCATCTGTTCTTGTAAGGAGCCGTGGTAGCATAGTGGATTACGTGTTGGGCTGTAACCACAAGGTAAGTAGTTCAAATCTACCAGCTGCTCCATGGGAGAAAGAAGAGGCTTTCTGCTCTCATAAAGACTAGCTGGCCCAACACCAACACCATCAATTCTTGTAAGTAAAGTCTTATTGGGACGCAGCCACGCCTGTTTCTATGCATTCTGTCTGTCTGTGGCTGCTTTGGGTCTATAACTATTTAGTTAAGTAGTTGCAACAGAGACCATAAGAGCCACAAAGCCTAAAATATTTATTATCTAGATCTTTACAGAAAAAGTACCGCTATCTTAGAAACTTCGTCATTTTCCTGATTGACAGATTTCACAAAGCAAAGTAACATGCAAAACTTATAGAAAGTATAAATTAGATCAATTATTACTTGAAATTTTGAGATCACCTTAACTTCTGACAGTATTTTGACCCTTCATCATCTTGTGTTCTGTATAAACTGGGCAAAGCTAAAAGACTAGTCAGGAGAAGCACAGCCCAAGGCTTCCTGGACCCTAATTACCACCAGGGAGAGAAACAGTTGTCATCCTTTGTATTCTGATGACAACTTCAGAGTTGACACCTGGAAAACAGTAGATGGAATGTAGATATGTACCCAGCTATTTCTGCAAAATTCAGCAGATTAGTGTTTCCGATAGTCAAATTTAAAATTTCATTGTTAGGAACCTCTGTTTTGTATGAACATGTTTTTTATCTTAACAAATTTGGATCATGTGCACATTTTTGTGGTTGAAGCAAGAGTTTGAGAATTAGGGTTGTAGATGTTTGCTCATTTTGCAACTAGACAAAACAGTCCTTCCTTTCCTCTGTTTTGTCGTTGTGAGGGGGGCATGGCTTGTTTTTAAGACTGATTATGTCTTTAGTGAAAAGTCCTCAAGTTTTGATCCTTAAAGCTTAAGAAAACAGATGTGGTGACTGTTAGAGCAAGAGCATCGTGCTCTTTAATTTATTACAGGAAACAACCCAGCATAACTTTCTTAAAAGTACCTAAAATATCACCCTAATTTGTTTACATACTAGACCCCTTCCACAGTTGTTCAACCCAGAGGACTGTAGAACACCACCATCCAATAGAAAAATGCAGATCACATGAATGATTTTAACTTTTCTAGAAGGAACATTGATTAAGGAAAGGAGTAAAGTGAAACCATGGAGCCCTGACGGGCGCTGTGGGTTAATGCTCTGGACCGCCAAGTCGAGTTGAACCAGCTGCTCCTTAGAAACCCTATGCAGGGTCACTATAAGTCGGAACCGATTCAAAGGCACTTGACAACAACAAAGTGAACAAGTGTAGTTAATTTTCATAGCGTATTTTACTAACCCAATTTATGCAAAATAATGTCATTTCAGCTTATAATAAACAGTTAATAAATTACTGAGATAATTTACTTTCCTTTTTTTTTTAATATTAAATCTTCACGTATTTAAAATTAAATTCAGCACGTATTTCAAACAGCACATCTCGATTTAGAATCTAAATTTTCTTCCAAAAGACATGATCTATATTTAGATTTCACACCAAATCGCTCCAGGCATATCTTGAAGTCCTTTGCCACACTTGACGTATTCCGGGTGCTCAGTACCCACGTGTGGGTACATGTGCCTGGGGCTGTCTTACTGGACTTGCAGCATAATTAGAAGAGTACATTTTTGTCTTGGAACTGACAGTGACAATTGTGTGCTTACAGAGGAGACCCACCTTGAGGAAACGACAGAAAGCCAGCAGAATGGTGAAGAAGGCACGTCGACTCCTGAGGACAAGGAGAGTGGGCAGGAAGGGGTTGACAGTATGGCAGAGGAAGGGACCAGTGACAGTAACACCGGCTCAGAGAGCAACAGTGCAACTGTGGAGGAGCCACCAACAGATCCTATCCCTGAAGAGGAGAAAAAAGAATAAATGTTGCCTTGTTTTATGTGTTCTAAATACTTTTTTAAATGAAATAACGCTTTTTTGAGTTTTAATGGTGTTACGTGGTTTGTGTATTCATTTTTCTCTTGTTCATACTGTACCACCAAAGGCTTTGAGACCGTTAGTTAGCATCAGGGGCCTAGTGGCATGGTCACCCTTCTTAAGCAGATGTGAAGATGGCTCTTTCTTTGGATTTTATTTCTAGCCCTCAGCTGCTGAAAATCTCGGCATTTAGATTGAGGAAATGCCCGCCTCTTTTAGAAAACCACCCTTTGAAATGCTGCAGAATCTACTCTTACAAATGCCTTCTTACCAGCTCACTTGGGTGCTTACCAAAGCCATAGCTTTAAATCTTCTGGTCTCCATCAGCGTTTTTCTAAGTCTCCTTTGCAAAGTTCACTTTAAAGAAATTGTTGTTAAGTGCCATCAAGTTGGTTCCGACCCATAGTGACCCTTTATAGGGTTTCCAAGGAGCAGCTAATGGCCTTAAACCACCGACCTTAGAGTTCAAGCTGACTTTGCAGTCTAGCGCATTAACACACAGCACCACACCAGGACTCCTTAGTGAGTATCTTCCTGAAAGTGTAATCATGTTTGAGTGTCTGTATTTGTTCGCTCACCTTTATAATTTTTAATCAAAATCTCAGATACCAAGAATTGTGTAACAGAGTCACTTGTAGCCTTTGACTACAACTGGGTCATATTGACCAGAAACTGTCACTGTTTCCACAGGTAGGAGCATTACTAGATATGAAACAGTCATTAAAGTGAACACAGCGCAGACGCAGTATCTGTACTCTTGTTTTAATTCATTCATATTGGGTATTTTTTGGTAAATTTGTCTTTCCTGTATAGAAAAATTACTTTTTTAACAAGTTTTCCAAAGACAGTAGATCGTAAAGCTTAAGGAATTGAATATCCTTGTAATGGAGTAAATAACTTCAAAATGATTGGCCCATTCCAGAAGAGAAAACACAGGAAAATGTTTTATAGTAATCAAAACATTGAAAACCTCAAGGCTCCCGATCCCAGAGGTCAGAGCCATCTTTTTGATAAACTCTTAGTAAAGTCTCGGAGACTAGAAGCAAGATTGTGACACGCACACTTCACACAAGCTAGAATAGATTTTTACTGAACAGTGGTATCGTTAATGGTATATGTTTCTTAAAGGTCCAAATATACTAATAATAAAAAAAAAATGAAAATAAAGGTCTGCGTGTTCTTAATGCACTGAATATTTGCATGTAAAATAAGCATATGATTTTATTACTGGAATGGAAAGACATGAATATGAAGTAGCCCCTCAGTAAACTCAGGGTCCCTTTCTCACCCAACCACGTCTTAACCGGTGCAGTAGAAAGTTCAGTTGTACAAGCCGCTTATGGAAAGCTTCCTTAACATTACAGTCATACTGCAAAAGTCTCTGGCCCCAAAAGTAAAAGGAGTCTACATTGACAGTTGAGGAATATGAAGATATCCGACATTAAAATTATCAAAAACATGGCTGAAAATAAGGGTAGAGCTTGTGCTTACCTGGAGGTAAGCTCTACACCGGCATGACTTCATTCATAGTCAATTCACATGCTTGGAACCTACAGCATCGGATTCACAGCTTCCTTTCTCTTATTTTCTAGTGAGTCAAAGAACTAATTTATCAAATACATTAACTGGGGTATCAAGAACTGGAGGACAGAACCCACTCATCTCATCCCCAACAAATTGGATCTATTTAGTTGTATGTGTCCAGTCTGATGGCTTCTCTGATGCATTTGGAGCTGAGCTGTTAAATATCGGGGTGGAAAACTACAGAGTGGGATGGATGCTGACATGGAAGTCTCAGGAAGACGGTGCCACTGCTCAGCCGGAGGTGGTACTGGGCACATCTAGAGCAAGCCTGCCCTTGTAAGGCGAGGCAGTTGGCTTGAGAGTGGAAAACTAAGTCATGGAATTTGACATTTTTCAACCCCAGAGGGGACAGATTGAATTAGAATTGCCTGTCGTTAGAGTAATGTGTGTAGATAGCACCAATGTTTAGGATATTCCTTAGTTCAAGAATGTGGGATGTAGTTTGCAATTCGGTGACTGCATAGGGTTAACAAGGCTGTAAATCTCAGGAGCAGAAAAAGCCTCATCTTTCTCCCACAGAGCAACTGGTGGGTTCACACTGCCGGCCTTGTGCTTTGCAACCTAGTGCTTGTTCTCTAGAGCGCTCGTCTGTGGAATGTAGTAGAGGTCTTTTGGGTTATTTTTTTCATATCCCCCACAGACGCTGGACAGGTCACCTACTCTATGAGCCTGTCTGTTTCAACTACAAATTGAACTGCTTTATATTTCCTGATCCAAACAGCTGAATCTTTAGTACTTTTTTTATTTTTAGTAAGAATATGTAAGGTTTGAGGACTTACATTTTATGAATTTTAAACAAATAGGAGGAGAAATGGAAGTTCCCTTAGTACCCAAAGTTTCTCTCAGAAATCTCAGATTCTATATATCCTTTCCCAGTCTGTCAAAAGCCCTTGTTTTTAAGTTGTTAAATGGCATGGAGTTGGCTCCCACTCTGACCATTAATAGGCTTTAAATGGTTTGGGAAGCAGAAAGCCTCATCTTTCTCCCACAGTGAGGCTGGCAGGCTCAAACTGCAGACCTTATTGTTTGTAGTCCAGTGTTAAATGTCAGGAGCCACCATGCTCCATGTTTTTATTTTTAAGTAGTTCTCCTGTATCACATGATAATTATATATTCAGAAAACTGAAATATTGAGAGGAGTGAACAGGAGTCCTGGTGTGGCACTGTAGGATAAGCACTGGAGCACAAGTTCAGTTTGAACTGCAAGGTTGGTGGTTCAAATCTACGCTGCTCCTCAGAAACCCTATACAGGGCTGTTGTTGTTAAGTGCCGTTGAGTCGGTTCCGACCCTGTACAGGGTTTCCAAGGGTGTAAATCTTTCCGGGAGTAGAAAGCCTCATCTTTCTCCCGTGGAGCGGCTGGTAGTTTCGAACAGCTGACCTTAAGGTTCGCAGCCCGATTCGTAGCCACTACGCTACCAGAGCTCCTTATACAGGGTTGCTATGAGTCAAAACTGACTCAACAGCACTAAACAACATCTCTAACCAGAGTCCTGGTGTGGCGCTATAGAATAAACAGTGGACCACAAGATCAGTTTGAACCACAAGTTCAGTGGTTCAAACTCAACCAGCTGCTCCTTGGAAACACTATACAGGGAATGGGAACGAGCTTGACAGCGTTAACATCTCTTGAGCATATATTGTGGATGTCCTGTGGAAAAGATGTAATACTTTGGTTTACTATATTTGAAAAGAGAATCTGAGGTGATATTCATCTACTCTATTGAAGTTTAACAAACTCCTTACATGTTTTTCTGTTTTGATCCTTCACATTTAGATACTAGTGTTGGATTTTAAGGCAGTTGGTGCTGACGATGTGGAACTCTCATTGCCTGAAGTTAAAGCTTTGGTTTCCCATGTAAACAGGCCATGAAGCTGGGATTATACTTGGTTAAGTCCTTATTTCAAAAATAGTTCCCCCTCCACCCCAAGCACTACCACACACACAGTCTCTCCACCTGGTTTTTGCTCAGTGTATGAGTTTTATCTTGTTACTTCACCGCTGGGCAAACCTGCTGGAACAATGACACAGTTGACTTGTTAATGATTTGTACATTTCAGGGCTTAACTAATCTTTGCAAATGAAAACTCCACTGTGCAATAACAAGCTAACAGGAACTTGGCGTCTTTTTAGAAGAAATGCTGAATTATAATTTGACTTACTGTGATAATGTTTCTTTGATCAATAAGGAAAGTACTGAGTTTAGTGTAAAACAGTGTCCACATGTATAATTAGTGGACTCCTCGTGTGGCATTGAAGGATTGGCACTGGACTTTGAACCACAAGGTTGGCAGTTCAAACCCACCAGCTGCTCCTCAGAAACCCTATACAGGATTGCTATGAGTCGGAACCGACTCGATGGCACTTAACAACACAAATGTATTAGTAATTACAAAACTATCTTAATATTACGTTAAACCACATGCAATTACCCACGTAGGCTTTTTTATCTACAAAATGGTTCTTTCACTCTGTTCAATCTAATATTTCTCTGGTATGCTACCCTAAGTATAAACTCCTAATGGCAGCATCCTAACTATGTGATGATGGAACGCTCAATTCACCAGACTGACCTGTACGTCTTTAATGCTCACTCCCACTGCCCTCATGGTGATTCTGATTCAGAACCACCCACAGAGGGGTTTCTGAGATTACAAATCTTTATAGGAGCAAACAGCCTCATCCTTCACCCTCAGAGTGGCTACTGAGTTTGAACAGCTGACCATGCCGTTATAGTTGAACGATGGTGAGCTCAAACTGCCAACCTTGTGATTCATAGTCCAGTGCTTGTCCTCTACAGTGTTCACATATATAGAATGTAGTAACCCAACTCCTAACCCACAATGCCACCAGGGCTCTGTATACCTCTAATAATCCTGTCATATTGCTAGACAAAGGGCCCTACCTGCTCCTGTAAAGATCTGCAGTCTTAGAAACCTTGGAGAGGGTCACTGTGAGTAAGGCTTAACTCCACTACAGTAGAATTGTTAGACAAAACCCTCATACAGATGCAAAACCCAAGCTGACTGATTTTTCAGAATATACGATAGTAAACAAATCATTAAACTAACTGACTTAAGTCCACATGTTTTCTCATTCGATACCAAAAATTTTCTTTTAAGTTTTTTGCGTGTATTCTAGGGTCAAAGGGTTATATGAAGAGAGGAACTTTCCAAATGAAGACTTGCTTTTTTATATAAAACTGAGTCTAACCACTGATAGGGGTTCCCTTTGATGACCCACTTGAAAGGTAGGAAAGGCCACCTCAGACTCTGTGACATTCTGATGTGGCAAGGACCTTAAAGGCCAGCCACATCAAGTACTCAGCCAGCACTTGTATAGAGACCATTGCCTTCCCCGTGTTTCCGAGAGTCAAGACTCTGCCTTTTAAAGAAAAGTCTCTAGTCTTGGGAAACCCATCACCTCATAA